CAGGTGCTGGCCTCCAGCATTTCAAGAGAGCACTGTTACAATTTTAGCAAAAGCAAAATGTCATCTCAGCTTTAATCACCCAAACACTGGCAAAATCTTTTGGCACAAAGTTGAACAGCTAAAGATCAGGAGGGAAGATGTAAAACCATTAATTTCAATTAAGCTTTAGAATATTTTTAAGACACTGAGCATGAGACTGCACTTGTAACCTTAATACTAAATGGCACTGCTAGCATTGTGGAAGATGTCAGTTTTTAAATCTATGCCTTTTGTACAAAACAGTGACCATGATTACAAACCATCATATTTTACCTCTGAGGAAGCTGTGCTCTTTTCTTCACATTGACCCCACTGGGAAGTTATATTAAAAAAGCCATTAAGAACATTCTTCCTCTTCACATAATATTTTCCTCTGCTCCAGCACACTGCTCTAACAAGAACAACTTCATCTCTACCTCAAATACTCACCCTTGCTGCTGGCAGGTAAGACTACAGTCATGCTTTTTTCCACTTTTAACCAGCTGATTCTGCATTTCTTTAGCTCTCCTTTTATATAAAAGGTACATCCAAGCTCAACCACACCTTTGTCTTGCTCTAGACTTAAAAGCCTAAACTAGTTCTCTCATCTTTACCATAATTTCAAAGAGATTTTGTAAAACACCCAGCAAAACATTTCTGAAGGTGCTCTGCCTCTACTATTTGGCTAAACGTAGCAAGAAGCCTGCACTAATTATTCCTTCACAAGTTTTACAGAAGTCAGCACTCAACAATAAATGTCTCAAGAAAGGATTTCCTGAGATACAAGGAGATTCTTTGGCTACCATGTAATACTTTTCCAAGCTTTCCACTTTGTCATAGAAGGATGAATAATTATTTTAAAATGAAATAAACACAAAGAAAAAAAGCCCAAAGAAAAGCTTATTTAGAAATCCAGGCTGGCACTCGCTCTCAGAGTCATCCATAGCTCAGCAAGGAGTGCCATCCTCCTACAGCAATTCAGCAGCTTTTTCATTTTGTGTTCTCTGCTAGGAATAACAAACATCACGGACTTCAGCTCTCTCACTGGCCTCATATGTCAACTTTTACACAATCACTCAGTTGTAGCACTTCAGCAACACCTAATAAATGGATGTAACTGCGATTGGAGTGAACTATTTACAATTTTTTTTTTAAAGGAAAATGCAAACAAATAGCATTTAAAGTAATATCTCCAAAAGCCATTGAAAGGGTTCAATTCATGAAAATTTATCGAGGTCTGCTTGAAACAAAAGTATGTGCTTCACCCTGCTGGGAATCATTCTCACTCAAAGCTGTGCTCCATCACAAGTGCTCTGCTGTGCAATCACACCTTGCTCTCAGAGCTGCAGAGTATTGCACGCAGGGAAGAAGCATATTCATTACTTTGTGGCAACATTTCCTGCCTAAAATCTGTTACTGCCAGATTTGGTTGCAGACTTTATTTTCAGATATTTAAACTAATAGAAAGTGATTGCAGCAGAAACTCTTCCCAGGTATTTTGAGCTGAGAATGTCATTAGAAAGCAGAAAAGAAAAAAGCAAAAAAGGGTGGGGGGGTTTGCAAAAAACCAAACAACCTTTTTTCCTGTGCTGATGGTGCCATAAAGCCTGACTATAGATACTGCAACCATTTCAAAGGCAGGAAAGGCTGAGGCCTTCACTGTGGTGTCCACTGGCTTTGAAGTGCCGCAAGCAGCTGCTCCCAGCAGATAGGAACTGTGGTACTGTTGGAGTTATTTTTTTTCCCTTCAAAATATACTTTCAAATCTAACAGCTGCAAGTAGAACAAAGTTGAGCTAAAGTATATTTAAAGAAAAAACCCACCAGCTTCTCTCTAAGAGCGTTCTCAGTGGATACTTCAAAAGAGAGTGGCGCTGAATCAGATGAAGCTGGAACGCAATACCGACACGTGACAGCTGGAACAAAATGCTGCAAGACCCCCCCATTTCTTCTTCTAAAAAAGCAAAGATTCAAAAGAAAATTGGCAAAGTTGATAAAATATTAACTTTTGTTGGACCTTCTTCCCAATTTTTGAAACAAAAGACGTGAAGTTTCGCACGCACAATAAGCTGATATTTATTTGCAGGCAGGGACATCTTTCAGCCCCATTACCAGCAGCTCAGATGCACATCTGTAATCTCTCTGAAATCAATACTGAAGATTACAGTGAAGCACAGACAAGTATTCATACAAAGCAGATGAAAGCTGTGGTTTTATCCAAGATCTTACACTTCCAAAATGTTTCTCAGGTTGGAGGAGGTGAAAACGCATCAGTTCTTTTGGATCTTCATTATCAACTCCATTTAACGTATGGACAACTGAACTGTCCAGCAGGCTACCAGTTCTTCTGCCACTCCATGCCAACCCACCCCAAGGAAACCTGAAGCTCAATTTTCCTTCTATCTGTATAAATTCTGTTCTATAATATCATTTGGACACTTGAGGCAGAACATCTAAAGCAATTACTACATTTCTCAGATAGCTGAAATATCCTACATGTGGCTGGGAGCTTATTTCTGGACTGGAAGTCTGCTGGAGCCATGCTGAAATGTGCCACCAGTTCTAATTTACTGCCAATTTAAATAGTCTAAATCAGCCTATTGCTCTACAAGTAACAACTGAAGAAGCATGTAGTAAAACAAGGCAAGGAAAAGTCTGCTTTACAATCTTCTTAGAATTTCTGAAGCATAGAGAGCTACTAGAACTACTGAAAGGAAATTTAAGAGTGGAAGAACTGAGCTCATACCATTCTGTGGCTGTACTGAAAGAGTTTTTATATTGCAGAAATGACAATGCAAGAGAAGGCAGTTTTCAATGATAACCCGTTACAGCCTGCAGAAAGGGTCACATTTTTCATGCTTTCAAGCTTTCAAAGAACATTCTAAATGAAGCATCATCAGAAATGAAAAAATAATGGGGCAAATGCAGGATTCCTACGAAGATTCTTCTGAGGCTCTTGTTTAGGTGTTTAGTGTTGAAACCATTTCCTGTGTTTCAGTGTTATTTCATGAAGGCTACATACCATTTTATCAAAGAGCTCTGGACATCTCAAATGAAATCAAATTGAAGCAGCAAAAAGCTCCTTTTGGAGGAAAATGTTTTCACTGATATCAACCACAATATCACCATTGTTACAGAATATGAATGTAAAATGATTCATCAAAAAAGTTTAAACTACTACATTCACTGCTTGCTTTTTGGGTTTTTTTTTTCTTTTTGATCCAGCATTTAGGAGTTCTGAATTTGAGGCACAAAGGTACAAGAAAATAAATAAAAACCAAACCATGAAACTAAGCATTGTCACTTTCCTTAAGAGCAAAAAAGAATAAGTATTTGGCAGAACATTCTATGGTACATTATCTCTTCTCATACATAGTGAAAAATAAACGACCATTTGTTGATAGAAACAGAAATGTTGCAGCATCTTATGAACTGCAGTTTAGTGTTCATAACTACACATTCCTAGATGTGGGAACAGAATCTTTGAATAAATATTTACTTGTGGCTTTAAAAACATACCACCAATTTTGAGAATTGTAGAGAAAAAAAGAAACCATCCATACTACCAGAGTGATGTGAACATAATATTCCATAAAAGTATCCACTTTCAGATGGACACCCACCTACACAATGCTTCCCATCATCCTTCCTTCAACGTGTCCTTTAACTGACATTAAACTTTACCTTTATTGCAAAGTCTTTCACACAAATAAAAAAATAAATAGAGTCCATGATTCCTTATTAAGGAATGTGTTTCTGATTTCTAGCCTTTGAGAAGTTCTACTGAATTACAAGAAAAATAAAATTCTCCCCACTCTTTTGACAAATGGGCTCATCTGCTACAGAAAATCCAGGAGCAAAAGTCCCAACAATGCTGCAAATCGGACTACTCCTGAACCATGCCATAGAAGAGTCATGAGTATTACCATCCACACACAAAAAAGCAGATGCATCTCATTGCTATGCAGGACAGCTTTGCATCCTCTGTCAGGTGATATCACAATTAGTACTGTTGACAATTATGAGTGATAAGGAAAATACCTTGACCCGAATTAACAAAATCTTCAATTCAAGGTTAACTGTAGAGCTATGCACAAAACACACTCCTGTTTCTCCTAAACACTGGCTATGATCTGTCTCAGCACCCTCAGAATGATCCCAATTCCTCAGTTACTCAAAAAAGTGCTTTCTGAATTGAGTACAGCAATCCTGCACCACTCCCATACCAGCATGGAAGATAAACTTGGTCAGGAAATGAAACTGCATTTCCCTGCTGGAAATGTAAACCTCTATTCACATAAAAACATTGATAAGAGATAACTTTAAGCTTATGGACTAATTGCATCACTGCTGTACCACTGTACAGTTGTCCTAAAGTAATCAAGAAAAGGATTTCAATCTTAACAGATGTTACCAGACACCACCTTACACATCTGTGCTAGCTCCACAGCTCTCAAGCCTATGACATGCAATAATTGATCTGCCTCTATTTATCTTTTCCCTTTGCACTTCACAACACTGCTGCACTGAATTTTCTTGTTTCCACCCAAATATTTCCTGACTGGTTCCCAACCCTGAAATTACATTGCCATACAGAAAATCCCTAGCAGTGGGCCAAAAGAAACATTTATATTAACACTCACCATGTTAAAAAAAACGATAAAAAACACCATTCCTTAGCAAGAAGAAAAGCAGATAACACCTTAAATATTTTCACCTGGTCATTTTGAAAATAGGTGTTGCCACCTGTAAGCTTTGGAAACAATTTGCAAGAGGCAGATGTACAAAAGATTGCAAATGGGAAACAAAAATATTTTGCATTTGGAATGTCTCTCCTCCATCCTCCCCTCCCATAAACTGTGTACCTAGAAACTCTGTTGTTATAGGAAGAATAGCAACACAGAGTGAGAGCAGGATTTAGTCACAGGAGAAGAGCTCCACCTGCCCCTGCTCCCCTGTGCCCAAAGGAGCAAGCTGACTGACCTGCTGCTCGTATCTCTGCTTCAGCTCTTCTAGTTGCCAGGAGAATTCTTTGGATTGCTTTTCCCGGAGCACTTTTGATCTGCTTAGATCTGCTTCAACCTTTTCCATCTACATGGTAAATAAAGAGCATTTATTTATTTTTAAAGGCATAGCATTCCAGCATTTTCACAGTTGTTTGCAAAATATCAAAAACCTGAACAGAACCTGCTGAGAATAACAATAGTATTATTTGTATGGAGTGAAGATGAATATTCAGTGAATACAGCATCATTAGTAACTTAAAGGCACTTATGATGTCATTCTCTGATCACAAACTGTAGGCTGTTTCTCACTTGACAGTAGTAAACATCCCATTAAAATTAACTGAATATTTTTCTGGACAAATTTAAGACTCAAATATATTTCATTTAAAAATACATTGCCTGTGGTAATTCTAGAGAAGCAATGCGTGAGTCAGCGCACAAACTACACATTTAAAGTTTACATTAAATCAGTAAAATAACTTAAAAGGGAATTATTTGGCTGCAAGTAAAGTTCCCTGAAGATACTCATCGCCTATGAATAATGAGTCCCATGCATTCCAGCACACGGCATCAAGGAAGCAATTTTATAACCCAATTAACAAAGGCTTTTGTATCAAAAGCACAACTGTTAGCTGTGCATCAGGCATGTTTCCAGGGGAATATGTATACAGTGCTATGCTGCAGTGAATACTCATCAGCTATTTCAGATCTAGGTCCCAACACAAGCAGCAAAGAAACCGCCTCCCTCCATGCGACAGAAAGGAAAAGGAATATAGCTGTCAGGAGGACCACTGCTGCCACATGTCCATCTGCTGCACAAAGAAGAAATGCCTGAATTCCTGAACCACAAGCCAAAATTCTGTTTGGCCTAAGGGAGCACTCTGTCTTCAATAGATGTCTTTGCCAGTTGGTCTGGACGTCACTTCTAAGCCAAATAAAGAGGAGAAAAGGCAGCGGTCAGAGAGAGAGAAGAGTTCTCATGAAAAAATACTGCAGCAAGAGAGGAAGGTGTAGGACAAGGAATCATTTGGGCAGTGTAGGAAAAAAAGCAGAACAAAATGAACCATCTTTTCAGTAATCCTTGAACCTCACTACAATCTGCTGTTAGGAAAAGGGGCCTCTGAATATTTTATGAAGATTTCTTTCACCTGCAAATTTTCTTGAGTCGCACTTCCATAGCCAGACTTTACTAAGATCAATAAACATAGAAAAATAAAAGATCTTGATCTTTTACTAAAGAAGTACTTTTCAAGAGAATGAAAGCATTCTAAAAGATGAGATAGTAAAAACATATGCAAAGATCCTTTAACTCTACAGGGCTTATGATCTTCAATCATTAGGAAAGGTTCACATTTCCTACAAGTTCAAGGGAAGCTCCTGATCATCATTTGCCAAGCCCAAGAAACACCAGAGCTGGAGAACCACAATGCACTCTATCTACTATGCCTTTTTCCTAGCTACTATTAGAAAAACTGCAGATCTGGCAGTTAAAAATGTACTACTCACCCACTGAGGGGCATCAGGTGGCTCTCAGTAATCAGAAACTCAACAAAATAGGAAGCAGATGGTAAAAAAAAAAAATCACTGAGCCAAATGAATGAATCAAATATTGATTACAAGAAGCAAAAATGCCACACCACCCCGTTCTACTCATCTCCATAAGCAACTTCACCATACCACACACAAAAAAGATTTTAGAAGCCCAGCATTCCTAGTGTAGTTAAAAGCAGTGTTGCTATAGCTACTACAGATTTTGATTTGTAAGTAATACATTCACCCTAAATACAAAAAAAAGCAGAGAATTTTCCATTATGTTATGATCTAATAGGTGATTCTAAAGAGCAGGCACGTGCAGAAGAATGGGAAAGGACAAACTACGAAGACAGCTCCAGCACTGCTTCTTTCATCTTTGAACCTTGGTTGCTGTAAAACACTACTGCTCAATTGTAAAGTATAACTTACTGCTTCCACGAGGGACAAAATAACTCTATGGCAGATTCCTGGAGTACAGTAAATCTTATTTTCAAAATGTCCCGAAACACTTTCTCAGATGAAATTTAATGCATTTTTTAAATGACAATTGATTAAGTTTTCCAAATTCTTTCCCAATTTTACTGAAATTGTTATTTAACCCTTTTTTCCATTTCTGTGTCAGTAACTCTTCCCTATAAGGCAGCTCTTTTCATTCCAAGGACTATTAAAACAAACACCATTTCAGAGAGCTCCACTGATGCTTGGTAGTAGCAAACAATATCCTCATAGATAGAGCTATTCATAGCTTTTTACATATCAAATAATCTTTACAATATAATTTCGGGCAGTTCTTCAGTAAGGAACGGGTGTGTAGCTTTGTGACAGAAACTTATTTTGTTTCTTTTTTGACAAAAACCTCACCACTGTCCATTGCCATCCTCAGAAAACCAGTACACCACCACACTGCAGTGTCAACAACAAGGTTTGGTTATGGTAAGTGAAACTGGAAAGCAAGCATATGGGCAGGTAGAATTACAAGCTTGAGATGCATACAGGGATTTCAATCACATGAACTAGTTAGGAAAAGACTCTGTTCTCTCCTTTTTGATCACTTGTCACTTATTCCTTATTTCATTCATCACACTGCATCTTTAAAACACAAGAGACACTGGCTGAACTATTATTCTATAAGGAATTTAAGGCACTAAAATCTCTAGACATAAATTCTTGCTACTATATTTCAGGGACAGAAAAATGGATTTTACTGTTGCCTGCCCATGAATGACAGCAGGCACAATGGCTCTGCTCCTGTTTAGGCTCAAACTGATTACAACACCTCATTAACAGAAGGCAGAGTTGCTCCGAAAAGAGTGGGAAGAGACACACAATTAAGTGGAAAAATTATAAACGTTGTTCTGTAGGGGTGTATAAACTAACACTTTATAGACTCACTCTTAAAGAATCCCTAATCAGTATCATAACTGCAGATACCTTTATAACAATGACAATTCTGGCTTTGTTAGAAAGATGAAACAACCGCTAACATCCCTTTTTGACTTGCTAGCAAAGACACTACATTGTGAAAGATTTTGATGTAGCACTATCAAGTGAAGCATGTTTCTGGCATTATAAGATCAGAATACGCTATCCTACTGAGACAGAGTTTCAGAAAGGCTGGCATTGTGACCTTCTCACCTGCTGTTTCATTTCAGCATAGACTTTTTCTGAGTTCAGCTCCACCTGCCGCTTAAACTCCTCCAGGGCAGCATCTGCCTGCTGGGCCTGCAGCCTCTGTACCTCTGTCACCCGAGTCAGCTGCTCCTCCTTCTCCCTAGAAAGTCACAGAAAATTTTCAGAGTTCAAGTATCAAATAAAAGAACAAGTGTGCTAGTGTAAAAGAAAGGCCTTTAACCCTATCAGTTTAAAATAGTATTCAGATTTCAATTTCCTGTCCCAGCTTCTGCCAAACTTCCCTTAGCAATACTTTGAAGAAGGGAATAGAAGTCTACAGTTATTTTCACTTTCCCTTGTCAAATTCCACGAGCCTAAACATAGCATTCATAGCCTCTGACAATACCTCCACCTTCAAAGTCCACGCTGACGTGGATGGCTTGCTACCTGGGCTATAACCTCCTCCTTTTAAATCTCACCTTAAAAAGTGCATTGCCTTGATAGTATTTAAATGAACTGCTTTATGGCACGATTGCACTGCTCCATTAGAAACAAAAAACAATTACTCCAGAGCCATCTTTGCTCAGACAAGATTCAGGATTATTCACTGCTTGACATACATCAAAATGCAAAGCAGCACAACGTCTGACATATGGTACCTTCTTAATATATTAGAAACCCATAAAGCTGCAATATCTATTCAGCCTTTAAAGTAATGACATGTTAAATTTTTATGCAAAGATAGCTCGTATTAACAGCCTATACTTTTTGGCATATCAGCATTAAAACACAGATAGAAATTAGTTTGGGCTTGAGACATGACAGCTTATCAATAGCAAAATATACAACATTTTATGAACATACGTGCACACATATATATATACACCTAAAAAATGGACACATGCCACCATACTGACACATCAGAGAAGAAAATTCTGATTCAATTGGGAAGCATGGATAACTCTGTTATCACAGGGCAGTGGAGCTGCCTGACCGTGTCAAAACGTGCAGACACAATGGTGCTATCAATGGACAGAGCTGGCTCCACCAGTGGTTTATAACAGAAGACACATTCAAATAGATCTGTGGCTGACATTCTCATTTTGCAGGCAGAGGAAGTACCTCATGATAAATTTCCCACTTTGACAGAAATTATTTCCATATAAAACAAAGAATCTGACACACAAGAGATGGAAAAGACCAGCTAATTCATCTAGCCTGTCACCTCGCCAGCACTGCACTGGCTGTTACAGCACTGAGCCTTTTACAAAGGTCAGGAAGCTGCCAATCCCAAACTTACAGCATTCACATCCTCTTCCGTGGTTTTCATACCAGCCTTTAACAACGGGACAAAGGATGTAATCCTACATCTTCACTGAGTGCCCATTTGCAGGAGAGCCAGGGTAATTCTATTAGCAAGGCTATTAAAGAAATGCCACAAGCCCTGAGTAAGCACCTTACTGTTCACCATATTTTTCTCCATCACGCATATTTGAAGAAAACTATTTGATTTTGGTACCCTCCTTATGCCTAATTTATTCTGTTGTCTATAAATAAACTGATATTTTCATTAGCAAAATACCTTTTTTACCTGGCAGAAACTGGGCCAAAACAAAAAAACTCCTGCATCACATTCTCATTTTGGTGATTATGGCTAAGGATGTGTGTGTTTTATTCTGTCTAAATCCAAATGGCACAAACATTACTTAGGATTTACACTTCTATCAGAAAGGATCTAAAAATCACAATCATAAGTGCAATTACAAAAACCTTCAGACAGTTCTCAGAAGGTAAGCATGGTCCAAGTAAGCTGATGCACTGATCCTAACTGCAGAGCCCCTGGCTTCACGGCTCCCCTGAAATGCACATAACTAGAACTATGCTGCTGAGCATAGAACTTCTTAAGGTGTTAGCTGCTGGATGCTGAGGTACACTGAGCACATCATTACCTTCTCCCATAGCAAAAATCTATAGGAATTCATGAGAATGAATACGAAGAGAATGAAGGACTTTCTGAGATCCTTGTGGCTCAGCATCCTGCAGCAGCTGAGCATTGCCCCAGAGGAAACAGGGAGGAATGCATCACCATCTCCCAGCAATCCTTCATTTGTTTATGAGCACAACATAACACTTCCTCCTCCCCACAAAATACATCTAATACTTCTATCTCCACATAGAAAACAAAACCAAAGCTTATTCCAACACTGATTAACTGTCAAGAGGCACTGGAAGAACATTTTTAGCCCAGGCAGATGGAAATGCAACAGATTTAAACATAAAAGGAGAAGATGCCAGTCCTTGTGCTCCTAGCAAGCCTCCAGATGTACGCATCTCCTTCCCAAGGAGTCTATTTTTATTTTGAAATATTACAAGATAAACTTTTCAGGATTGGATTTATGCATTTCCCTTTCATTTAAGGACTTAACGCCATGAATAGATGTAACACCTCATTGTAACTAGGAACAATTCTTTGTGTTATTTTCTTTAGGATGGGGGAGCAAACTCTACTTTCTGTGTGTTTAAGATTTGTACAGAAGCTGAGAAAACATGCACAACAATGGACTGCAGTTCACAAATATAAGAAAAGCTCCACTTTTTTTTTTCCCCAAGCCACTGAGCAATGTGCCTAGCATGAAGCACTGAAATATTCACTTTGAAGACTTTTTTTTTCAGTTGGTTTAGTTGTGGGGCTGAATACAATACAATTACATCACTTAAATCCCCTAAAGCTGAGCTGGCTTGAATATAAAAATAGTGTGAATTTACTCTTTGTCCCCAGTTTTAAAAGCATCAAATTCCTCTTGTTTCAGCATATAAAGGATATGGCAACAGAATTAGCAATTTTACACAGCACAGACCATCTCAGTGAAAGTGGACTGTGAAGTCCAGAATTGCAGTTTTAGAAAGCAGCACTCTGAAGCTGACTGATAAGTGGCAAATATAAACATCTTGAATACCTCTTCATGCTTAATCAGAAATATTTTCCTTGCTTTGCCTTCCAAGAGGTAACAACTGAACGCAGTAAGACACTTCAGCACTGCAAGTTAATGAAACACAGGGCAAGGCAGTGATTTACATGAGAGGTTAAATAAATTCAAGATGTTCCAGCAAATGTAGCATGAACCAGCAGTATTATTTGCAGGGTCCTCCAGCCAAAAGGTTCTCACCAGGCCCTATACAAAGAGGAAAGCTGATCAGCAACAAACAAGGAGTGGGAGCAGCACCTCTCTCACCCTGTCTTCAACAGATTTAAATGCCTTAGATTGCATTAAGCACAAAACAAGTACCCCTGGAGCCACACGTAGACAACTTCTGTGGACAAAGTTTCACATCCCAGTGGCAAATCTGCACACGAGCACCCTGGGCAGAGCTTAAAGGGCTTCTCAGTAATAGGAAAAAGTAATAGGTTGTGAAAGTCTCAATGTTCTAAAAGTTTAGCATGATGGCATCTCGCCAGACAATCTAAAACACAGCAACCTATGTAGTAAAAAACAACTTTCACCATAGACGCAGAAGAAAAATGCAGGAAGTTTACATTGGTATCTTTTATGTACAAATACTCGAGTACCTGTGCTGGATACAGACACTCCCACACACAGACCTTACAGCAGCCGTCCCATCGTCCCACAGTCTGACCTCGGAGCATCTCACCCTGCTCCAGGACTCCACGAAGGCAGCCCTTTACCAATAGATAGCCAAATGCAAGATTCAGGGCACTGCCACTCAGTTACACGTGATGACCATGAAATGCACCACGCAACACACCTTCTAGATGTGAAGACTATTTTATCCACATATATGATGTATTAAGGCATAATGTACCACATTTGTAGAAAGAAAAGGCTCCTGCTTTAGTTTGCTGCTACAGAAAAATGCTGAAATACACCATTTTACTGCTCACGCTCTACTATTTGTAACAGTGATAGTTAACTACCAGCTTTCTGTGTAAATTATATACTGGCCCTATACACATCCATCTTAGCTGTAGTTTGTGCATCTTACAGAGGCAGTTATCACCAGCAAACAATGAGGAACAACAATGCTCTTACAGAGAGAGCCCCCAAACATACGGGATGTGTGCAGAACACTTCTTTCTGGTGTGGAGAGGAAGAAAGACAGTGTGAAGTCATTCAGGCGGAATGATAACTAAACCAAAGCCAGATCAAAGGAATGAAGAAGAAAGACTGAAATGTGAAGCTGAAATATTTATTGCCTTCAAAACATCATCCCTATCCTGTCCCTGGGCACTTTAATATTTCCAAGTTGTTAGAAAGCATTCTAACTTGTTTCATCATTTCAAAGAAAAAAAAATATAAGGTAGAGAACAATTTTATCTTTCACTCTCTGATTTTAAGCACAAGATGAGCCTGTCCTGATGAGAAGAAGTATGAATCCACTTATAAATTGTTTACATTTTGCATAATTTGAGATGTTAACATCAAAAAGCTGGTCTGCCTTCCTTCAAGTAAACTGTAATAATTGTATTGTAAATATCAATCATTTTAAACCATATACTTATGTTTTAAATAAATCACAAGATAACATTAAAGTAAACCACTACTTAGAGTCATTAATGCATTTAGAGTAAATATTCCATGTGTGTAATATCACACGTCAGTGAAATAGGAGGAATAATACATTACATTCTAAATGAGCAGCTCACAAATTTACCAGATATTGTTCAAACACAGTAATAATTATTATAACTATTCCTCATTATAATAATGACAGGGTACTGCTGTGTTAGGTGCTACGCAAACAGAATAAAAACAGCAACTGCACAGTGATGAATGAGATGTGGGTTAAAAGCCTGGGTAAGCGTTGTGAACGTGGCTGGAAAGAAAAGTGGTGTAACTTAACTAAACACTGCAGAAACTGTCCACAAGATTTAGGTGCATCACATATGGAAGGCCACAGAGGCTTGGTTATCCAAAACGGAGGATTAGGACATTGATTAAATGGTGTGGCTTTCATGGGCTGAGATGTCAGGCAAACCTCAGTCAGCAGAGCATGGAGTAGAGAATAAGAGAGGTGAGAATAAGAGAAGTGAGTGTGGATCACTGCTTAGATAAAAGGAGACAAGTCTGTAATTAAAAGGTGGACCAGTAACTCAGCAGCACAGATAAACAGATTCATGAGATTACCCAAAGAAGAGGTACA